CTCTTGGGAGACAAAAGCTACTCATTTCGACAACAAGGCAGTATTGAATTACAATCGGATGTAGAAAAAATATTCCAGAGCTGCCCGATTGATTATCTTGCCCTACACAATAAATGGCCCTTACTAATGGCCACCCACCCAATGGCATTTTGAGGGGATTTTACTGAATATTTTGGCCCAATAGTACTGAGTAAAGGGACAAACAGTCCAGGAAACCTATATGCAAACCTAAGGAGTTTAAGACTGACGTGATACGATCCCGTCACATTCTTAAATGTTTGACAGGAATGGAAGCACAATTGCGCTGAACTGTATGTCATTATTTTCTATTAAGCTTGATTAAAGGTCTAATTAGATCAGAAGACACAACAGAACATCTCACAAAATGTTTGTCAATTGGGCCGATGGACCCAGATATTATTGTTAAACCAGTTTGTTTAGACACATTGACCTACATAAAATCACAGATATATTACTTACTGGAGGTGAATAAAACCTAACCCTTATGTATATTGCTGGAATTGGGGATGTCTAGTTTAATGAAGAGAAGGACGAGGGGGGACATGATAGCAGTCTTCCAATATCTCAGGGGCTGCCCCAAAGAAGAGGGAGTCAAGCTCTTCTCCAAGGCGCCTGGAGGCAGGACAAGAAGCAACGGATGGAAACTAACCAAGGAGAGAAGCAACCTAGAACTAAGGAGAAACTTCCTGACAGTGAGAACAATTAACCAGTGGAACCACCTGCCTCCAGAAGCTGTGAATGCTCCAACACTGGAAGTTTTTAAGAACAGACTGGACAGCCATTTGTCTGAAATGGTATAGGGCAGTGGTTCTCAACCTGTGGGTCAGGACCCCATTTGGGGTCGATCGACCATTTCACGGGGGTCGCCAAGCAAGGCTGTCCGCCATTTTTTTTGTCTGCCATTTTTTTTGTCTGCCATTTTTTCCCCTTTTCCGGCGGGTGCCTTACCTCCCTTGGGCTGGACCAGCTGGTGGTCGGCCTGCTCCATCTCTGCCGCTTGCCAGATACGCCTCGGCCGGCGCAGGGGGCGGAACCACGCATGCGCGGCGCTCCCGGGCAGGGAAAGTCCTCGACTTACGACCGGTTGGGTAGTCCTCGACTTACGACCGGTTTAGTCCTCGACTTACGACCGGTTTAGTCCTTGACTTATGACCGGTTTAATCCTCGACTTACGACCAGTTGGGGTCGCGGCATTAAAAAGGTTGAGAACCACTGGTATAGGGTTTCCTGCCTGAGCAGTGGGTTGGACTAGATGACCTCCAAGGTTCCTTCCAACTTTATTATTATTATTATTATTATTATTATTATTATTATTATTATTATTATTATCATCATCATCATCATCATCATTATTATCATCATTATCATTATCATCATTATATATGTATGAATGAAAAAGTCTCATGGTATCAATAAGCTTGCTTATAGCCAAATTAATTCCTGAGGTCAAAATAAAAATCTTGCTCCTAGTATGTATGTATGTACACACACATACATACAAAAGTTTTTTTAATAAATATTACTTTGATTTCTGCTAAATAGAAATTGACAAGTTTCCAGAGATACTTTTCCATTACCCTTTATAATAGCATCATACAGCGTAACATTTGGTTATCTTAACATACTTTGTACTATCACTTAAAAGTGCCCTAAAACATGTCATCAAGAGACTGCCCCTGAAGGAACTTTAATCCCGTGTCCTTTTCTATGCACTTAATTCAGAGAAACCATTCAGTGTTTAAGGATGCTTCAAATGTTTGAGATTCCATCGCACAAATCACAAGAATTGTATTTCACTGTCAGCTGCATTAAAACTGAAATAGGGATAAGACTCTTATGTAACTTGTGTGATTTTTTTTTAGCAAATCTATTTTAACCTGCTTGTTTTCTACTGATAACTAGAATTTTTTTTTTTACTGTAATATATTAATGCTGGGAGCCATTTTGAGTGTTTTGTTTTTTTAGAAAATGAAGGACTTCAAACTGTAACAGCTACCAGTAGTAATTCAGAATTAAATCCCATGTTTCCTTTTTATATTATCTAATTTCTAGATAATTTCTAAATTATCTAATTTCTAATTTTATATTATCTAATTGCTGTTACAGTATGAAGTCCTTCATTTGTGCAGAATTCCTAGAGTAACGTATAACAAAATCAAAATTAGAAGGTAAACATAGCCACTAGAAAGCCAGCAAAATATACGAGGACCACATTATGTATTCCTGGATTTCTGAGTACAGGAGGATGTTTACAATATGGCTGAATATTGTAAATAAAGGTAGCCTAGAGAAAAGTTCATTTTGTATAAACAGGAATGTTACTATAATTAAGAAAAAACAAACAAAGATATTTCAGGAATTCGTTACTTCCCGAATTTCATATTCTAATAATTAGAAACAGGTAATTTCTGATTGTTAATATTATTTGCACCCATCACAAATCATCTTAAGAAAAGTCTGAAATACACTTCAATTATCTGGATTCAGTATTCTGAAAATCAGTCACTGCTGGAGGTGTGAATAATAAAGATCTTTAAAAATCTAACATTCATTTCTATTCCTACTGTGTGGAGTAAACAGGCTATATACAGGATTGTTAAAAAAAAGAAAGGGGAAGCATATGCTTAAGTGGGGAGGGGGGAAGGAATCAGCTTTTTTCAATTCCTTGCTTACATGAATATAAAAAAGGTGGAATTCCTTTGGCATATTTTACTTGATAACATTAATCCTTCCCAGCTCTGTTATGAATTCGTTTGGTGGTTTGAGCTGTCTCTGTTTGGGGAGGCAGAAACTAGTCCTGCCTCTATAAGATTTGATTAGTTCAATGTGATCCATATTATTCCAAGAGGCAAATCAACAGGAATTGAGACAGTTATCTCTCTCTCTCTAGCCCCCACTGCCCATCAAACACTATTGCTGCCCAAACTCCACTTTCTAGGGATGGGCTTCACTCAATCAGAAGGCTGGTAGCTTAGATATACCTGAATGATTGTAGGCCAGGGGTCTTCCAACTTGGCCCTTTTAGGACTTGTGGACTTCAACTCCCAGAATTCCTCAGCCAGGCACGCGTGCCTGGCTGAGGAATTCTGGGAGTTGAAGTCCACAAGTCCTAAAAGGGCCAAGTTGGAAGACCCCTGTTGTAGGCTTTCAAGTCCATATGCTGAAAAGAAACCCAAACACAACATTATAATAATAATAATAATTTGATGCTGTCATCATCCAGTCCTTTCTCCTATCCCCACTTTTTATTCCTTTTTATTCCTTACCATTCCATTTTTAATCAACTGAGGCTCAACTCTTTGCAACCCTAAAAGTTTGTTATCTATTGTTGGTTGGTAGCAAATGTACCTTTCTGCCTAAAGAGCAAGGGGAAAAAATATTTTAGAATAGATACATACATCTTGAACAGTAGTACTGTAGGTCGGGGGTCCCCAACCTTGGCAACTTTCAGACCTGTGGACTTCAGCATGGCTGGCTGGGGGATTCTGGGAGTTGAAGTCCACAGGCCTTAAAAGTTGCCAAGGTTGGGGAAACCCCCCCCCCCCTGTAGGTGATTGCTATGCAACTCCAGATAGTTTTAGACGACCTGGCCAGTTGCTAAATGCATTTAAATCTTATGCATGGTTTTGTGGGAGGACCTCCAACTGTAAAATGTCCCTTGGGAGACAGGGCCATCACCACCTATTAATTCTGCAGAACGTGGTCATTAAAATCAGCCTTTGGAGGTGAAGGTGACTGGACTGCAGAAATTCCATTATCATGTGAATTATCAGCTTCAGAAAGCTGCACCAGGGATCCACCGCTGTGACCCTCAGCAGACACGCTAATGGTTTCCAGAGCAGTAATTTCAGAGTCTCAAGGCCCTCAACTCCCAGGTGAATTGGGGTACCTAGGATTTAGAGGACAGATAAGCTGATAACAAGTTTCCTTTCCATAAAAACACGAAGGCCAAAAAGGCTTTTCAGACCAGCCATCTCCCCCCCACACACAAAGCATTACACAGCTGAGTCCGACAGCACTGTGTCAAACTCAACTAATTCATTATTTCATTATTAGGAGGATAATGGTCGTTAAGGCTTGTTTTTAACTTTTTCTGTTTCAGCTTAGATGTAACTCTAAGCCCCCCCCCCCCAGTTCCCTTATGGCAAGATGGGCGGCCGATAAATTTTATGAATGAATAAACAAATAAAATGAGTACACTCAGTTGTAGTAGAGCGGGAGCCAATTGGGTGACATGGCANGGAAATGGATGGACAGATGGAGATAGATGATAGATATACATACAAGATAGATAGATAGATAGATAGATAGATAGATAGATAGATAGATAGATAGATAGATAGATAGATAGATAGATAGATAGACAGATGATAGATTATGGAAATGGATGGACAGATGGAGATAGATGATAGATATACATACAAGATAGAGATAGATAGATAGATAGATAGATAGATAGATAGATAGATAGATAGATAGATAGATAGATAGACAGACGATAGATTATGGAAATGGACAGATGGAGATAGATGATAGATATACATACAAGATAGATAGATAGATAGATAGATAGATAGATAGATAGATAGATAGATAGACAGATGATAGATTATGGAAATGGATGGACAGATGGAGATAGATGATAGATATACATACAAGATAGAGATAGATAGATAGATAGATAGATAGATAGATAGATAGATAGACAGATGATAGATTATGGAAATGGATGGACAGATGGAGATAGATGATAGATATACATACAAGATAGATAGATAGATAGATAGATAGATAGATAGATAGATAGATAGATAGATAGACAGATGATAGATTATGGAAATGGATGGACAGATGGAGATAGATGATAGATATACATACAAGATAGATAGATAGATAGATAGATAGATAGATAGATAGATAGATAGATAGACAGATGATAGATTATGGAAATGGATGGACAGATGGAGATAGATGATAGATATACATACAAGATAGAGATAGATAGATAGATAGATAGATAGATAGATAGATAGATAGATAGACAGACGATAGATTATGGAAATGGACAGATGGAGATAGATGATAGATATACATACAAGATAGATAGATAGATAGATAGATAGATAATAGACAGATGATAGATTATGGAAATGGAAGGACAGATGTAGATAGATGATATAGATATACATGATATAGATATACATACTAGAGATAGATAGATAGATAGATAGATAGATAGATAGATAGATAGATAGATAGATAAAGGTGGGGCGAGGGGGCTGAACGCCCCCCTTCACAACAGCCCCGGGGCCTCCCTCCTCCCCCTCCCCGCCCCCCTTCCCCTCCGCCCAGTCCAGCCTCGGCGTGGAGACCCTCTTTCTGGAGGGGCGTCCTCCCACTCGGGGGCCCCGAGGCGGGGGGGGGAGCCGCCTCGCCCTCCCTCCCTCCCTCCCTCCCTCCCTGCCCGCCAAGGGGGCGAGGCGGCGCGCGGCCCCTTCCGGCCTCCGAGGGGAGACAGTGGGGGGGGAGGAGAGGCGGGGGGCTGGGCGGGGACCCACCTTGAGCGTGGGGTACTCCTGCACCTTCAGCGTCATGGAGAGCTGCGCCGCCGACTCCTGCACCGCCATCTTGGGCCGAGCGCCGCCGCCGCCGCCGCGGCAACAGCGCCGCTTCCGGCCTCTCCCGGCAGCCCCCGCGGCCGTCGCGCGCCGCTTCCGCCTCCCCGCCGCTCCCGCCCCCCCCTCACGCCCGTCCGCGTCCTTTCCGACAGGAGACGCCTCACCCGCGCCGAGGTTGAGAAAGCCGCCGAACACCGCTGCTCCACCCCCTTCCTTCTCGAGCTCCGAGTTGGTAGGCTCCGTTTGGGACCCGCCAGCCAATGGGACGGCTCGTCGGAGGAGGACAGCCCGAGAAGCCGTGGCGAGCGCGGGGCGTGATTGGGCGAGAGGGAGGGGCGGGGTTTTAAAGCCGCGGGCGGAGGCTTGCCGACTTCGGACCGAACCATTGCACGAGTGTGGACGGGGGGGGTCGTCCTCCTGTCGGCCAATCCGAGCTAGAGCATGGAGAGAGTGGGCGTGGCTCGGGAAGGGATCGCAAGGCGGCTTTTTCAACTCTGCCCAAAAGGGATCGAGGGGGATCCCGCCGCGCTGCGGGGGCTCCGCTCCTCGGCTTTCTCCGCCTAAAGCTGGCTTCCTCCAAAATCCTTAGCCTGCATCTTGAGTGTATTGTGCCTTATTTCCCCCCTGGGTTCACACGACTGCCTTAACCTGCTTTGCGGGGTTCCCCCCCCCATTTTTCCTCCCCTGAATTAGCACAAAATTTCACTTACCAGGCAGTCCTCTACTTGTGACCACAATGCAGCCCAAAATTTCTGTTGCTAAGGGAGACGTTTTGTTTCGCCCCACTTAACGACCGTTGTTAAGTGAATCACTGCAGTGAATGTAGTAAATTGAACAATTATTAGAATAATGATTTGTCTGCATAATTGCTAGAACAATGATGTAATGCATAATCACTGGGAAAATTCACTGGGAAAGTTCTGTGTCAGTAATATTATTATTATTATTATTATTATTATTATTATTATTATTATTATTATTATTATTTATTGAATTTATATACCGCCCTATCTCCCTTACGGGACTCAGGGCGGTGAACAGGCGATAATAAAACCACGATAAATATACACAAGTTTCTGTTGTAAAATCAAATTAAATATGTGGCAACCAAAGGCGCTTTGCACATGGATACTTTGTATGTAGCAAAACCTTCCATTGTCTGCCTGCGAGAAACGCTCCTAATGTGTCACAGTGTGTATTTCAATGTGTAGCCCTTTGTTCTTTAAGGAGGGGAGTATAAAAACTGAAGTCTAATCCCGCCCTCCTCGTTCAGAATTGCCTATCTCTAATATGCCTCTGGACCTTGCGCAAATAAACTTCTCTGCTAAACCCCTCTGGAATTCGTCAGAGTTCTTTCGTTTTCCACAAGACAGTAGTCACCCGGTTTGTTAAGTGAATCTGGCTTCCCCCATTGACTTTGCTGGTCAGGAGGTCGCAAAAGGGGACCACGGGACGCTGCGACCGTCATAAGTATGAGCCAGGGGCCAAGCCTCTGAATTTGGATCACGGAGACCCTGGGGAGGCTGCAACGGTCGTAACTGTGAGCAACGGTCATCAGCCCCGTTTTTCGGTGCCGTCGTAACGTTGAACGGTCACTAAATGGGGTGTTGTAAGCCGAGGACCAGCTGTATTCTGATACCTGTCATGATGGCCCTTAGTCTCAATAGGAATTTTGGCAGTTGGGTTTCACAGTTCTGGGTGTTGATCCTGTTAGCTGGCTTTTTCAGGATTTGGAAGGATTTCAGCCTATTCCTATTACTTTCAGCCTATTCCCTAACCCTAAACTCTAAACCCTAATCCCTAAACCAGGGGTAGTCAACCTTGGCTCTAAGCTGGCTCAGGAATTCTGGGAGTTGAAGTCCACGAGTCATAAAAGAGCCAAGGTTGACTACCCCTGCCCTAAACCCTAACCCTAGGATCTTTATGTGTTGATGTGGGTGTGTATGTGGCCTCCATGTCGCTGCGGACTGCCAGCAACTGCCTGGACAAGTCCCTGCAGGGTTGTTGTTGGGGGTTTTTGGAAAACAATTTTTCAGAAGTGCTTTTGCCATTCCCTCCCTCGCAGGGCTGAGAAGGTGTGGCTGGCCCAAGGACACCCAGCCGTCTGAAGTCGGCTTAGAGCTCACGGTGCCCTAACCACTACACCAAACTGTCTCACTACGCAGATCTACGCCTGGGGAAAAAAAAAAAAGATCTGATAGGATAGCTTTAAGCCAGTTTGCTTTAAAAACCAGATGTGGGATGCTTTAACCTCAGGGCTGGGGGACTAGGGCCCTTTTACGATCTGTGAACTTCAACTCCCAGCATTCCTGAGCCAGCCATGGAATTCTGGGAGTTGAAGTTCACAGATCGTAAAAGGGACCTAGTCCCCCAGCCCTGTTTTACCTGAACATTTCTCCAGGTGGAACTCCCATTCCAGGTATTTTCCTTCTGATCTTCCAAACTGAACCCAGGTGTTGTTTTCCCCAAAGGACACAAACCTGCTCCTCTGTGTGGCTCTTTGCCAGCCACCCTCTGCCAGCCATCGGTAAGCTGACGGCATTTTCGAATTAAACCACTGCGCTGAAATGTAAGGGGAGGAACTTAAGATCTTGGGGTATGTTAATACTTCAAACCTTTTTAACAGGTCCTGCCATGTGGACCTCGCTTCTCCTAGTGTGCAAATAAATACCAATAAATAAAATGTTCCTAGTCTTTTATCATCATTTTACCAATTTACCAATTACTGCCATAGAAGAATTCTAGTAAATCTATATAATCTAAATAACTTAGATAGTTGTGTGTGAAAACTAATAATACTCCATTCCTAGAAACCAGCACAATAGGGGAGAAAACATCCCTTTGATAAAGAATTAAACCTTTTGAGCTTGGCAAATCAAAACAGATTTGGCGGTAAAATTATAATTAGAAAAGACCATTCTATTTCCTGGAAATTTTCAGTCTACGGTACATGATTAAAACATTTGCCTGGTTACATTTTCTAGATTTTTGAATAAACTTTGAAAAGTCACATTGAAAGACAAAAACACCAGAGGGAGCCACAGGCTCCCAAAAGTCAGAATGGCTTTTTAAAAACAGCTTTCTTTTTGTTTATCTATACAAAATTGTCTCACTTTAGGCAGGGTGTTTTAAATAATAGCTTGTTGAAAAGCCATTATGGAGTTTATAATTCATGCTGTGCCATTAATTATGATTAAAGAACCAGAATGGCTGGATATGCATTAAGCCACAGCCAAATAAACAGTATTGTAGCTAGTACAGAACTGACTTACTCCAAACTGTGATTTTTAATATTCAGTTTTTAACCTGAGGAGGATTTCATGTATTTAATAATCCAGGGCTGTTGTTACAGGAAAAAAATAGACAAAGAGACCCGCTAGATACGTTGCATCAAATTCCTGAACGAAATGCAAGCTGTAAGTCTAATACATATTAATTGTATTTTATCCTGATTTTTAGCCTGGTCACACCATCCATTACTATATGGTATGATGTGGTGTCATGTGTCAGTTTGTGTAGGAGAAGGA